TCTCAACAGCTGTTCTTGTGCAGGCAAGCTTCAAGACATTAAAGTGAAGAGGAAAAATGGTATAAGTGATAAGCAACTTCCACAGCTTGATTTTTCAGATGTTTCGAGGGCTTCCTAGCCAGGACACCCTATGTCTTCTTCCTGCCTGCCTTGTGGGTGCTGCATATGGGTCAGGCAAAGCATGGAAAAACTTTGGCGGTGTGTATTGGGAGCTTCATCTGCTTTTGTGTTTTTGCTGCATGCACCTGGTGAAAGGTTTGCATTTACTAGCTGGACCACATGGCCTTAGAGCAATGTCCTGGGTAGAGCTATACCATCACCTGGAAGCCATTGCTAAAGATTAAACAGTTACATATCACTGACTTGATTTTAATTTTTCCCAGTGGTGTGTTTGGGGGTTGAGTCAGAGTCATTACACTCAAGTGTCTCAAGTGGCTGAATCACCCGTTTATTTCTGTAGCTGCCTGCCTTGGGAGCCTGGGAGCAATTGGGCTTTTTAGCACCATCTGGCTTTAGCTGGTTTTATTACCAGAGACTTCTGTGTAGCCGCAAGTTGAAAGTTTTTCTTTAGGATACAGTGGAAAAGACAAGAGAGTTTTGGAGGAGACTTCGGGTTGTTCTTTGACAACTTACTTAACTTAAAGGAACTAAATCCATTCTTGATTTTATTTTTGTTTGAAGTGGTCAATGTGTGCCCTTTGGGGGCTCTCAGCATGTAGATAGTGGGTGCTAGAACATGTTCTGGGGTGGAGGGAGCACACTGTAGCAGGAGGCACCACTCCATTTGGGGTCTCTCCCCACCCCTGGAGAGCCTCTTGCCCTCTGCCGTGGGGCTGCCTTTGGGCCTCAGCCTCCACTCAGGTTACTGGGATGTTGCAGGGCCAAAGAATTGAATTTTGGTTTTATAATCAAAACTGAATACTTCTTTGGAAAGACATGAATGTGGCTGCAACTTAGATACATCAGGACTGTCTGGGAGGATGGGTCTTTGAGACCTGTAATTCAGTTTTCGCCAATGGGACCACAGCTGCCTTTGCATCTCTGTTGTACTGGACCCAAGATGTTCTCGTCATGTGCTGGGCGCTGGCCGTACCTACTCTTAGGGGCTTCCCCCACAGGCTCCAAGAGTGGCAATGATCTGTGCCTGAGGCTCAGCCTGTGCCATGGGGTTGGCTCTGATGGGGCTCAGGAAAGTTTTGTGTGCTATCATTTGTTTCTTTTCTTGGGAAGAAGAGCAAATCTCTTCCACTGTGGGAAAAACTAAAAAGACCTGGCTTTGCAGGTACCT